TTCTATTCTATTCTATTCTATTCTATTCTATTCTATTCTATTCTATTTGATTCAATTTTAAACTAACTCGATACTCGTGCTTTGCTACGAAACTATGTGGTCAGGCTTAGTTTTTGGAGAGGAAAATAAGGGGGGAAAATTGTGCCTCTGCCTACCAGCATCCATCAGTATTCATCTGGCTAGCGTCCTGTCAACGTGTGAGAGAGTTGAGGGCTGTTTGGAAACTGAAACATGGAAACTGAAACAGTATTTGCTGTGTGAGCAAGAAGGAGACAGCAAGGAACCTGAGTGTGGCTTAGCTCAACTGTTCTGTACTAAAGCTGCTTGGTGCTGTGAAACTGAAACTGAAACTCCTTTCCTCTGCTTGTGTTTTGCATTTGGAAGAGATTTCTTTTCAGATGGGGAGTAGAACTCCTTAACATCAGAGTGTGTTAATAATAATAATAATATAGGAAATACTAAAGTCTGATGGTCATTTTGAAAAATCCTTTCTTAGTGAGCACCTAGAAGCCAAGAGGAACATACGTGCCAAATTTCAAGTTTGTAGGCTTTATGGTTCTGGAGATTTTGTGATAATGCGTGAGGGGTATTTCGCTTTTATATGTATAGCATAAATAAACAAGTAAAAAGCAATAGCCTAGCACGACAGTTGATTGACAGTCCCTAATCTCATGAATGAAGGCGAATATACATGTTCCAGGATAACGTTGCAGGATCCATTCTGGGCCTCTCAACAGGACCAGATATTTCGTCTTGCGAGGTTTCAGACTCGTGCTGGAGCCCATTCTCAGGGAACTTCTCTCTGTGTGATTTGTGTTGTTCTGTGTGTGGTATTTAGATGGTTGTGTGTAGCTTTTAATAGGGGGTGTTGATGGCCAGCTGTTCATGTTGTTGGCTGTTGTTTCTTTGTGCTACCTAGCCCTTGCCTCCTAAGTTCTTTGTAAGTTGATAGTAAATCAGAACACCTGTTGACTGACATGAGGGGCCTGTTTCCCAGGCTTCAATTATTTCCCTGGCTGTTTTTGTGCCTGCTTGTCCAACAATCTTAATAGCGGCAAAATTAAATGTATGCTCATTTATTGCCACATGAAGCTACAAACGAGTCCCTAATCTCTTTATGGATAAGATGCTTGCTTTTAAAAGCACCTTGTAGGGGTGCTCCGGGGCAGGTGGAAAAAATATGGTAGGATCCTGTTCTTAAATATTATGGGAAAAATCCAGCCTTCCAGTAAAATTTTATTTCTAATTCTTCCCAAAGGTTTGGCAATTCTACTTTGTATTTTCTGCTCTCCAAAAGCAGAGTGCTTAGCTGAATTCATTTGTAGACCTTGGACTATTCATAAAAGGACAGATTCTCAGCCAAGATCAAACGTCAACGCCGTAGACTTTACAAGCAGTGATTAATGTAGTTGCAACTTACTTTTGCAGGCGTTGCTGTTCCGTCCTTCTGCGGGACGCCAAGGCAGGTCGTGGTAAAAATCCAAGCATTGCTCGCAGTTTAAACCTTTGGTGTTGTGCCGACACATGCAGTGGCCATGGACCTGTCAGAAAATGAGACAGCCAAGCTCAGAGAGCACCAAGGACACTTCCGATTTCATTTTAGATGAAAGTTGTTTTCTGTCGTCAGGGGCAGAATTATAACGAAATAACATTAGGAAAGCAATGTAGACGTTTACCATTCCTTCCACCTCTTTGTCATAGCCATGCACTGGTGCGCATTCACTGGCGTGTCCATAACAGAAGCAGTTTCCACGCACCACCATGTCATAAATGGCATAATAATACTTTTCTTTGATCTCCATTCTTGAATCCAGAAGGTTATCTCCCAGCGTGTGCAGCTTGGCAAAGTTGATCCTTAAATTTGTAATCTTTAACATATCTAAAAAAGAAAAAGAAAAGAAGAAAAGGATACCTGTGTACATTCATCTTTCTAAGAACAATTCAGGTAATAACATGACATTATATTAGTCCTCAATGTATGACCACAATTGACTCCTAAATTTATGTTAAGTGCCCCATTTTGTGACTTTCCTTGCTATATTTTTTACGAATTTTCTCTCCAGAAAAACCGTGGTGCCGTAGTGGTTAGAATGCCGTATTGCAGGCTAACTCTGCCCACTGCCATGAGTTCGATCCTAACCAGCTCAATGTTGACTCCTTCCAAGGCCAGTAAAATGAGGACCCAGATTGTTGGGGGCAATAGGCTGACTCTGTAAACTTTTTAGAGAGGGCTGTAAAACCCTGTGAAGCAGTATATAAGTGCTATTGCTATTGCCCTTCGTTCGTTCGTTCCTTCCTTTCTTCCTCCCTCTCCCCTCCCTCTTCCTTCTCCCTCCCTCCCTCCCTCCTTCCTTCCTTCCTTCCTTCCTTCCTTCCTTCCTTCCTTCCTCCTCTCTTATTCCCTTTCTTATTCTCCTTCATGGTGGCGCAGTGGTTAGCATGCAGTATTGCAGGCTAATTCTGCCCACAGCCAGCAGTTCGATCCTGACCAGCTCAAGGTTGACTCATCCTTCCATCCTTCCAAGGTCAGTAAAATGAGGACCCAGGTTGTTGGGGGCAATGTGCTGACTCTGTAAACTGCTTAGAGTGGGTTGTAAAGCACTGTGAAGCAGTATATAAGTCTAAGTGCTATTGCTATTGATACCGATAAAAGAGAATATTTATAGCTTAGAGTTATAAAATATTGACAGTTATGCTAATACTAGTCAAGCTCTTTAAGAGAACTGAGGTTCTTATTTGTACATAAGGAGGTTGTAAGCTGTTGGCTTATCTGATCTCACAAGCTCTGTTGCTACTAAAAGCTTAAAAAAAATCTGAGTGGCTACCTATGATAATAAATACCCTCTACTCTTTCTCAGTGGAAAAAGTACAGGTACTCCTTGACTTACAACAGTTCATTTAGTGACTGTTCGAAATTACAGTGCAGCGTCCCTATGGCCACGGGATCGAAATTCAGACCCTTGGGAACTGACATGTCTTTATGATGGTTGCAGGGTCTCAAGATCCCCTTTTGTGACCTTCTGACAAACGAAGTCAATGGGGAAGCCAGATTCTCTTAACAACGGTGTTACACACTTAACAACTGCAGTGATTCACTTAACAACAGTGGCAAGAAAGGTCATAAAAATAAGCAACAGAAATTGGAGGGCTCCATTGTGGTTGTATGTTGAGGACTGCCTGTTCGTTGAAGCATTATAATCTGACTCGAAGGGCACCAGCTACTGCAATCTACCAGACAATGGAGAACAAGTACAAAGCCACTTCAAAACTCAAGAGAGATCTATTCTTAGCTTTATTATGTTGTCCGAAGTCCTCAACCACCCGCTCGCAGAGTAAATTCCTTTGCCAAAAGATTGCCAAATCCTTTCTAATGTTGCATTAGTTCCAGACATTTGTGGATGGAGAGTATAAAAACTCTCCTCTCTTCCTTTTTTTTAAATTAATCCTGCTATTGCAGGGATTTGATTTCCTTGAGGGCCGCATCAGGGTTGTGTTTGGCCTAGGGGCCCAGGGTGGGCGTGGCCAGGGTGGGCATGGCCAGCTTGACATCACTTGTGTCGGGGGCATCGGTGGTGGCCGGTGCGCTCTGCCAGCAAAAACAGGCTCCCGAGCTCCGTTTTCAGTCACAATGCCCTCCTGCCACCTTCTGCCAGCAAAATCGGGCTCCCGAGCTCCATTTTCAGCCACAATGCCCTCCTGCCACCTTCTGCCAGCGAAAACAGGCTCCCAAGCTCTGTTTTCAGCCATGATGCCCTCCTGCCTCCTTCTGCCAGCGAAAATGGGCTCCCAAGCTCCGTTTTCAGTCATGATGCCCTCCTGCTACCTTCTGCCAGCAAAAACGGCCTCCCAAGCTCCATTTTCAGCCATATGCCCTCCTGCCTCCTTCTGCCAGAGAAAATGGGCTCCCAAGCTCCATTTTCAGCCATGATGCCCTCTTACCACCTTCTGCCAGCGAAAACGGGCTCCCGCTCTGTTTTCAGCCATGATGCCTTCCTGCTGCCTTCTGGCAGCAAAAACAGAGCTTGGTTTTCAGCTGCCATAGCCTCCTGTCGCCCTCTCCTGCCGAGCTCCATTTTCACTGGCCAAGCGTGACAGGAGGCCAACGTGGCAGAAAACGGAGCCTGGGAGGGCCAGATGCGGTCCTCCCAACCTCCATTTCCACTGGCAGACCAGTCCTTTGCAGTTTCCAGGGTGGCCCTGCGAGCCAGATCTAAGCACCCCACGGGCCGGATCTGGCCTGCGGGCCTTGACTTTCACATCCCTGTACTATTGGAATCACTGCAAGGAGAGCCAATCGGTCAACCCTAAAGGAAATCAACTTTTACTGTTCTTTGGAAGGACAGATACCGGAGTTGAAGCTCAAAGACTTTGGCCACCAAATGAGAAGAGAGAGGACTCCTTGGAGAAGACCCAGATGTTGGAAGGCCAAAGGAGAAGGAGAATGTCAGAGGATGATGGGTAGATGGGGTCATTGATGCAATGAACATGAATTTAGGCAAACTCTGGAAGACTGTAGAGGACAGGGGAGGTCTGGCACACTTTGGTCCATGGGGTCACGAAGAGTCGAATGCAACTTAATGACTGAATAACAACAATAATTCAAATCGAATGATTTCCAGCCAAACTAAGCTCTCACATTATATCACGTATCCAACCCCTTTGATTCCCTTATTGAGTGGTGAAGACGTTTGCCTTCCACTCGGAAGGTGGAGAGTTCAATCCTAGTTAGTGGCAGATGTTTCTCTCTTAGGGCGCAAAGAAAAAATATCTGCTGTGAACTCTGTGTAGGTGTTAGGAAGGGCATCCGGCCAGTAAATGCTCAGTTCCATCCAGTCTCCCCGACTCTACCCCGAATTAAGGGATTACAGGATCATAAACAGAGAGTACTGAGCTAAAAAAAGCTTTTGTATATTAAAAATAACACCAGCTACTGTTACATTTTTTTAAATCAGATAAGCCTGTTCTTATATCTAGAGTGCATACAAATGAAACGTGTTCTGTTGTTTTTCAACATCAGCAAAATACTAATCCGAACATACAAATGAAGTAGCTTATAACTAAGCCCCGGGATCATACTTTGCATTCGTTTTACTACATTCAATGCTTTTATTTTATTTACAGTTTGTTTTTCTTTCATCCTAGATTTCATACAGACATAAACACATGTCTCACTCAGACTCCCCTCCAATCGTACTGAAACTTGCTTCATCAAAGCTTTTCCATAATACGTCGGGAACTATGTCTCAGTTCTTCTCTCATTTCACTAATCCTAGGGATCTGAGATGGAGGGATAATAATCTCCAAACACTTACATGAATAAATTTAATTGAAAGAAGTGAGATAATTCACCCTACGTGCTTTTAAATATCACTAATAGTCACGAATGCTAAAGGCTGCGATGAAACAGGGTTTTTGAAGGGTTGCCCATTACCAAGGCTTTGAAAACTTAATTATGCTCCCATTAATCTTTCTGGATGATGGGTACCCCAAAAGATTTTAGCTCTTTTTCATGAACTTATTAAGCACCCTTGTTTCTCTGCTTCTTTGATCTCTGCGGGAATGCAGGTTGGTGTTAATGAAAAATTTTTGGCAAGAAGATACCACTATAGGGTTGACATGAAGTTCAATTCAGGCCTACTGAGCTCTGGGCACCATCGATGAAAGAAATATATTGTTCGCCCCACAGATGTCTTCAGATGTTTTTTTTTTAATTACAGCCAGATGTTCTTCTCTTCAGAAAGCAAATTGTGCAATTTTCAGAGAACTAAACTAGAGAGGGGATGCGGTGGCTCAGTGGACTAAGATGCTGAGCTTGTCGATGGGAAAGGCCGGCAGTTCAGCAGTTCGAATCCCTAGCGCCGCATAACGGAGTGAGCTCCTGTCACTTGTCCCAGCTTCTGCCAACCTAGCAGTTCGAAAGCTCGTAAAAAATGCAAGTAGAAAAATAGGGACCACCTTTGGTGGGAAGGGAACAGCATTCCGTGCGCCTTCGAAGGTGTTTAGTCATGCCGGCCAAATGACCACGGAGACGTCTTTGGACAGCGCTGGCTCTTCGGCTTTGTAACAGAGATGAGCACCGCCCCCTAGAGTCAGGAACGACTAGCACGTATGTACAAGGGGAACCTTTACCTTTAAACTGGAGAGACTAATGCTGGCCATCTCTGAATGTTGAGTAATTTTGACCTACTGGGCAAAGTTAGCATGCATTGGACGTACAACAAAGAAGAGGATAAAGAACGGTGAACATACTTTGAATCCTAGGACTGTAGGGGTCTTCTATTCGAAAAGCCGGATCCAAAACACGAAAAATGACCTGAAAGCGACATGGGAACACATCAATAGGAGAGAGATTTCTATTCTGTAAATGCAGATAGTCCTCAACTTACAACAGTTTGTTTAAGTGACCATTCAGAGGTACAACGGCACAGAAAAATGTGACTTAGAGACAGTTTTTCACAGTTATGGCCTTTGTAACATCCATTGAAATTCAGACCCTTGGCTGCCGGTTCCTATTTATGATGGTCCTGGGGTCACGTGATCCCCTTTTGCGACTTTTGGACAAGCAAAGTCAACAGGAAGCCAGATTCACTTAAACAACCAGGTTACTAACTTCTCCACTGCAGTGATTAACTTAGCGAGAAAGGTCATAAAACAGTGGTCCCCAACCTTCCTGGCTTTGCGGACTAGGGTATGTGTAAGTGGAGAGTGGAAATGGTTGTTGTGGTTCGCCGGCAGCCTGTGCAGATGGCAGCGGAATCGGACAGTGGGGAAGAATGGGGAGAAGTCCAGGAGTCTGGAGAGGACTCAGACGGGGGTCCTGCATCCGGTGAAGAGATGGAGCCAGGTCCATCTGGGAGTTATGTGCCTGGCAGCAGCGAGGCAGAGGAACAAGGGGAGCCTGTTCCCAATGCACGTATGGGCAGAGCTGCCAGAAGGCAAGAGCAGCTAAGACAAAAGGGGCGACTTGGGAGTAAGGCTTGGAAGTGATTGCTCCTCCCCTAAGGTATAAAGCAGGGGTCCCCAACCACCGGTCCGCGGACCGGTACCGGTCCGTGGAACAAGTCCTACCGGGCCGCTGGCTTGCTGGGCGCCGCCATCTTTTTTTGATGAAAAAGTGCTTCCGGTGAGCTTTTCCAGGTAGAAAGCTCACCGGAAGCACTTTTTCATCAAAAAAAGATGGCGGTGCCCAGCTAATGCCGGTACCGGGCCGCGCCATAAAAAAGGTTGGGGATACCGGGCCGCGGCGTAAAAAAGGTTGGGGATCACTGGTATAAAGGACAGGCAAAGGTGACAAAACCTTTGCAGGAAGCAAAGTTGTTCGCTCTGTTCGGATTAAACCTTGAAGCCCTGTGTGGACTTTGTACTTTGATTGGTTTTTTACAGTTAATTTGGCACTTTAGTTGTTGGCAGCCATTCAAAGGAGAGAAAGGTGGGTGCTTATCTCGAGAAACTGTTTGGGACTAATTACAGGCTGGGAATGCACTGAAATAAAACAGAAGTTGTTTTAACTAAGCCTGTGCTTAATTACGGTCTCAGGAAGCCTTGGTCAGAACAATGGTTCTGTGTGAGCAACAGCTACACACGTTTGTGCAAACAGCTCCATTTGCGTGAGTGGAGGGCCCTCACCTGCATGTGCAAAATTCCATTTGTGTGAGCGGCAGGTTAGGGTTAGGGTGCCCCTTGCACGAATGGAGTTTCACACACGCATGAGAGTCTGCTGCGTGGGCAAGAGCTGCACACCCAAGTGTGCAAGTCTGCCACTTTCACCGCCCAGTTCCAAACGTGCCGCGGGCTAGGGGTTGGGGACGCCTGTTGTACAACGGGGAAAAACTCACTGAACAAATGTCTCACTTAACAACAGAAGTCTTGGGCTCCATTACGGTCATAAGTGGAGGACTGTGTATAAGGTTCTTCCATTGTTATATATAAAGGACCAACCTCTCCCTCGGTGGAAGGTTCAATGTCTGAATAGCGGGAATCACAGATAATGTCATCGACTTTCTTCATTGGCCCGGTGGAGACGCCAGGGAACGAATTCTCACAGTCGTAGGCGAAGTATCGGTAGACTTGCCAGGTTTTGCCAAAGTCTGAGGATCTTTCAATCAACATCGCAGAAGGACGGAAGGTCTAAAAAACAGCAACAAAAGGAGTTTAGGTCAATTGGAGCTACAGAATGGTTTCCCTTTTTTTTTTTTTTTTTGATATTGGAAAGTTAAATGTCCTTTTCTTTCTCTCTTTTCTGATTTTTTTTAAAAAATACATGTCCTCATGCATATTTTTATTTTATTTCATTCTTTATTTTTATCCCGAGGAGATGGACTGGTCCAAGTCACCCAGCTGGCTTCCAAGCCTAAGGTGGGACTAGAACTCACAGACTCCTGATGATTGGCTCAAAGTGGTCCACCGGGCTTTCATGCCTAAGGTAGGACTAGAACTGGGTGATTGGACCAAATTCACCCACTCGGCTTTCATGCCTAAGGTGGGACTAGAAAACATCCTATTGTGAACTGTAAAAAAATATATGTTATATTTCTGAATGTTCCTGTAAGCTGTGCTTCAACCACTGCAATTAATATTATGTATAGTATTTTCTGAGTGAAAATCCCAAGAGGATGGAATTTTTCCAAATCTTTCAAAAAAAATAAAATAAAGTACTTTATGGTACATCTATCCTGCCAGGACATCTGTTGAAAAACAAAACAACAACATTTTGTATACAGATGTTTTCTTCTCCGCCTCCTCAAAATTATTTCCACTGCCAAAAGGAAGGAATTTTAAAATTCCATTTATCTTGTGGTCTTAAATAACTGCATTGTGGAAGTTTGGTATTCGGAATATAATTCAAAGCAAATGTGGTGCTTACATAATTCTCACCTCTTGATCAGAACTGACTCCCCACCAAAAAAAAACACAACCCAGCTGCAGGAATATAGATACGAAGAAGAAACACTAAATCCTTCTCAGATTTTATGAGTGTTTGGGGACACATTCAAAGGAGTTCTTATCTAAAAACGCAGAACAAGCCAATTAAATTGCACCATAAAACTCTGGAATTTGTTGTCTGCCTTCCCTCTTGCATTCCAAGATTAATCGTTTTAAAGAATCCTTTAATACCATTTATCTTAGAGGTGAAAATGCTTATTTAAACCTCTAACTGGTATTTAAGAGCCAGGATCTGGGTCTCTCTGCAAGTGGAGGGGAAAATGTTTATGGATTTTTTACCTTGAAGGTCATAATGAGATGAGTGAAATGAAATTCCGCCTCTAAGTCCAGTTGGATAGTCACATTTTCTACTCCTACAGGACCGAAAGGGGGGAAAAAGAGGAAGTTTCACTGTAAACAAGAACATTTGTTAAAAGTTGAATTCCATCTCTTGAATTTCCCAGAGGGAAACGGGGGCTTCAAACTAAACCCACTCTTTCTTTCTTTCTTTCTTTCTTTCTTTCTTTCTTTCTTTCTTTCTTTCTTTCTTTCTTTCTTTCTTTCTTTCTTTCTTTCTTCTTTCTTTCTTTCTTTCTTTCTTTCTTTCTTTCTTTCTTCTCTTTCTTTCCTTCCTTTTCCCTACCACCTTCCCTCATTCTCATTTCCTTTCTTCCTTTGTTCCTTCATTCCTTTCTTCTCCCTACCACTTTCATCTCCTTTCTTCCTTCTCCCTGCCACCTTCCCTCACTCTCATCTCCTTCCTTCCTTCCTTCCTTCCTTCTCCCTACCTCCTTTCCTCACTCTCATCTGCTTTCTTCCTTCTTTCCTTCCTTTACTTCTGCCTTTCTCCCCCTCCCCCTCTCTCATCTCATCCCTGCCCCCATGTTTCCCACCTCATGAACAAAAATCAAACGGATGAAAATCATTACTAGGAAAAAAAAACAATTTGCTATAAAAACGCCCAACATAGATTATTAGGAAAATATTCACAATTCAGTGATGTTGTCCGACTCCTGATTAGATCACACTACATTTTAAAAAGTGAAAATGCATGCTGCTCTTAATGCAATTTCACAACACGCTTCTATACCAGCTGCAATTCCATATACGCAGCTTTCCCAGCCCCCTTTCAGGACCTTCGAATCCCAGCCTGGGGGGCAGCCAGGGGTGGGATTCTACCAGTTCACACCTATTTGCTAGAACCGGTTGTTAACATTCTAAGCAGTTCGGAGAACCGGTTGTTACAAGAAATTACTGGCCTAATCCTGTAAGGAAGGCAGAAAGGAAACATTCTGGGGTTGCTTACAGAAACTGCCTCTCCGTTAACCCTTATTACATTCTTGGCAGGACTAGACTTCCTGTCTCAGGAACTTCTCTGGAGTTTTTTCCCCTCCTTTGCTGGTACTTTGCTTGTGTGGAGTGACCATTCAAAGTTACAATGGCACTGAAAAAAGTGACTTATGACCCTTTTTCACACTTACAACTATTGCAACATCCCCACAGTCATGAGAGGCCAGGTGAGGAGATGCATGCCTCGATGTGAGTGATATTGAGTTGGTCACACCCAGCCAATAAAATGACCACCAAGCCATGTCCACCCAGTCAAATGACCACCAAGCCACGCCCACCACCTAAGCCACGCCCCATAACTGGTTGTTAAAATTTTTGAATCCCATCCCTGGGGGCAGCCTACCATTTTCTGACTGCCACCACAGCTTCAGGCGATTCGGAGAGAATGCAGTCACCACGTTTTCGATCCGGTGGCTGTCAGGATTCAGGGTGTCATGGAACGGATATCGCGAGTCGCACGTGAAACATTTCTTGTCCTCCTGAAATAAGCGAGACAAAAAAAAATCCCATTTTGCAACATGCGATGGTTTCCAAAGGCTGGCATTCATTCAACTTCGTTAAATTCCCACTTCGCTCGAACCTTCCAAATCCAGGTTCATGTCTCAACATAACTGGGGTCCCAACGATGGGCAGCCAATCTAACTTGCTTCTTACAATCTAGACCAGGGGTGTCAAATTCAATTTCATTGAGGGCCACATCAGGGTTGTGTTTTGACCTTGCGGGAGGTGGGGTGAGGGTTAGAGTTATTTCCGCTACCAGTTCTCCAGAACTGGTCAGAACCTGCAGAATACCACCTCTGGAGCTGTGCTTTCAGCAGGATGTTTGTGCCCTGTGTCCCTTTATTGGTTGAACATAGGCGCATGCTGTTGGGGACAAGCCTGTGTTGTCTCCATCTCAGCGGTTCCAAGAAGGCTCTACACACATTTGCACTGCTCAGGAGACCCTGAGGATGCAGACAAACCTCCAAGTGGGCTCAAGGACTCTCTAAAAGGATGCAAATGACCAGCTGTCTGCAAGGAATATAAATCCTTCCATTCCCCCCCCCCTCCAGTCAGAGCTGAAGAAGCTTCTTGGAGAAGAAGTGAAAAGTCTTCAAAGAAAAACCAGAAAGTCTAGTTGCCTCTTGAAAAAAAGCACATCTAGGGGGAAAAAAAACTATATAGCCGTGATGGCAAACCTATGGCCCGCTTGCCACAGGTGGCATGCAGAGCCATTTGTGTGGGTACGCGAGCCCCAGCCAAAGTTACCTGCATTGCACACGTGCATGCCTCCCAGCTGATTTTTGGCCCATTTGAGGCCGTTTTCGCCCCCCCCCCCCAAGGCTTGAGGGAAGACTTTGCAGCCTCGGGAGGCTGAAAAATGGGCCTACCGGAAATACCAGAAGTGCCCGTTTTCAGGTTCCATAGGGCCTCTGGAGCCCAGAGGAGGCCATTTTCGCCCTCCTGGGTGCTCAAGGCCTCAGGAGGCCAAAAAATAGGCCTTCTGCAAATACCGGAAGTGCCCATTTTCAGCTTCCGTAGGGCCTCTGGAACCCAGGGGAGGCTGTTTTTGCCCTCCTGGGGGATTGAGGGAAACCTCTGCAGCCTTGGGAGGCCGAAAAACAGGCATTTTTCATCATTTCCGGTATGTGCAGGGGGACGGGGCGCATTGCATTGTAGGTGCCGGCACACGCACGCTTTCGGCACACAACAAAAAGGTTCGCCATCATGCTATATCGCCTCTTCTAATGCTGCAAAACAGCTCCGTGCCAACGAGAGGCCAGTATTATTATCTTTACTGGCACCAAGACTTTGACACTATTCTCTCTGACTGCTTTCCAACAAGAGAAGACTTCCATTTTTGGAAATTAAGACTTCTTTAATGCCATGTCGTCAGATTGGCTGCTACTTTTCTAACCTTCTGAACACCTAAAAACTTTCTGACTTTCCGTGCTGACTTCGGTTCTCCTGAAACATTTATGAATCTCTCTCCCTTTTTAAGATAAACACTTCTACCTTTGAAGTGAAACAAAGGGTGACACGGGACCCCTCCTCCCTTGAAAAATTGGAGAACAGCTACAGTTCAGGATGTTATATAACCTCACATGCCACTTGTGCCAGAACTATTAAAATGGATAAACACTGGATTACTTCTGAAATGGAGCAGAGAGGATCATAATTCAGACCAACTTGCACAAAACACGGAGAGAAGCAACCTGGAATTAAGGAGTAATTTCCTAACAGTGAGGACAATTAACTCGTGGAACTGCTTGCCACCAGAAGTTGTGGTGCTCCATCACTGGAGGATTTTAAGAAGAGATTGGACAGCCATTTGTCTGAAGTGGTATAGGGCAGTGTTGGCAAAACTTTTTGACACTGAGTGCTGAAACAGAAGCATATGCGTGCCTGTGGGGGAGCACCCGAAACCGGAAGACCAGTCCCCCGGTATGCATGTGCACACCAGGAAGCTGGGCTTCTGGGTTCCGGCACACATGCAAGCGTGAAGACCAGCTGGCATGTCGGAAACTGGAAGTTCAGCTTTCCCGTGCATGCATTGCGTGCTGGGGAGCTGCTTTTCTGGTTTCTGGCGCTCCCACACGTGTGAATAGCAGCTGCTTGCACATGCCAGAACTCGGAAGAGCAATGGGCTCTTCCAGCACACGTGCCATAGATTCACCATTACGGGTATAGGATCAGTGCTGGTATTTGACCGGTTCTGCCCAGTTCTGGAGAGCCGGTAGCGCCGATGAGCAGAGGAGATGGAACCGACCTCTCTGCCACTCTGCTGTTGGGCCCACCTGCCCGCCTGTGCTCCCATACTCACCTTTATCCAGGGGTGGGATTCAATTTTTTTAACAACCGGTTATGTGGGCGTGGCTTGGTGGTCATATTATTGGCTGGGCGTGGCCAACTCAATATCACTCACATTGAAGCACGCATCTCCTCGCCTGGCCTCTCGTGACTGTGGGGATGTTGCAACAGTCGTAAGTGTGAAAAAGGGTCATGAGTCACTTTTTTCAGTGCCATTGTAACTTTGAATGGTCACTCCACACAAGCAAAGTACCAGTAAAAGAGGGGGGAGAAACTCCAGAGATGTTCCTGAGACAGGAAGTCTAGTCCTGCCAAGAATGTAATAAGGGTTAACGGAGAGGCAGTTTCTGTAAGCAACACCAGAATGTTTCCTTCCTGCCTTCCTTACAGGATTAGGCCAGTAATTTCTTCTAACAACCGGTTCTCCGAACTGCTTAGAATGTTAACAACCAGTTCTAGCGAATAGGTGCGAACTGGTAGAATCCTACCCCTGCCTTGATCCACTAAATTTGAAGCACAGCTGCTTTGCACAGCAGAGAATAGCGCTGTGCGCGGCAGCTGCTGAAGCAACCAGAATCGTACAGGCTTGCAGGAGGCGAGTTAGAATGCCTCTGTGCCTGCACAAACGCCTCTGTGCCTGTGCAAAATGCTAAATGCGCACTTTCAACAGGCACAGAGGCGTTTGCACAGGCACAAAGTGTGTGCATGCACGCAAAGTGCGCCCACCAAGCCACGCCCACCGAACCAGTGGCAACAATATTTGAATCCCACCACTGTATAGGATCTCCTGTTTGAGCAAGACTTGGTGGACGCTCGGGCAGAAGTATGT